CTGCGAACGATGCGTCACTTGTAAACAAGCTAAGTCCAAAGTCAGGCCACACGGTTTGTATACTCCATTACCTATTCCCTCTCATCATTGGATTGATATATCTATGATTTTGTGCTTGGATTGCCTAGGACTAGGACGGGGAAGGATTCTATATTTTTTGTGGTAGACAGGTTTTCAAAAATGGCTCATTTTATAGCTTGTAACAAAACCGATGATGCATCTCATATAGCTAGCTTGTTCTTTAAAGAAGTTGTGCGTCTGCATGGAATGCCTAAGACCATCGTATCTGATTGTGATACTAAGTTTCTTAGTTATTTTTGGAAAACGTTGTGGTCTAAGTTAGGTACTAAAATTCTATTTTCTACTACTTGTCATCCACAAACTGATGGGCAGACTGAAGTAGTCAATAGGACCTTATCAACCTTGTTGCGTGTTCTGGTCAAAAAGAATCTTAAAAGTTGGGAAGATTGCTTACCGCATGTAGAATTTGCATATAATCACTCGATGCATTCTACTTCTAAGTTTTCTCCATTTCAAATTGTCTATGGTTTTAGTCCTTTGTCTCTTTTGGATCTAACCCCTCTTCCTTTGTGCGAAAGAACTAGTCTCGATGGAAAGAAGAAGGCAGAACTTGTTAAACAGATCCATGAGAAGGCTAAACTCAACATAGAAGAAAAGACCAAGCTCTATGCCAAGAAAGCAAATAAGAACCGACAAGAAATGATTTTCGAAGTTGGCGATCAAGTTTGGGTACATTTGAGGAAAAAACGATTCCCAGCCGAGAGAAAGTCCAAGTTGATGCCAAGAATTGATGGACCTTTCACCATAACAAGAAGAATCAACAACAACGATTATCAGCTTGATCTCCAAGGTAAGTACAATATCAGTTCTAGTTTTAATGTTTCTGATCTCGTTCCTTTTGTGGCAGATGAACCAGATTTGAGGTCAAATCCTTTTCAAGAGGAGGGGGATGATGCGATCATGGACAGCCTAGAGAACTTGGAACTTGGAGCTGAAGAAGTTGGACTCGAAGAACAAGGAGAACCTGATATAGAAGAAGCTTTGGAAATGCCAGCCGGTCCAATAACTCGATCAAGGAGCAAGAAACTTAAGGAAGCTATCGGAGCTATGCTTAGAACCAGTTGGAGACGAGCTAATGTCTTGAGCCAGGAGGAGAAGTTGCTATACAAGCCGCATTGGTTTCTATACAGGCTCAAGATGATCAGTGAATGGGCATGTGACCCGTTTGCACTCTTTTTCCCTCTCTTTTGGTTTTGTCCCAATGGGTTTTCCAAAGGGAGGTTTTTAATGAGACAAACGGCTCACATCATATCCCTCATTTTCTGATCCAACAGAGGCCCAACACTTGAAGTATCGGCCTGGAGAAGAAGAGTTTCTTTCATGTTTCTTCCTTATTCAAACTTAGTCTTTATTGTCTTAGTTATTTCCGAGACAAGTCTTGGCTGTCACAGACTTGTTCTCTTTCTTTTAAAACCCTTGTACGCTCCTTGTTAAACTCATCTATCTTTTCTATCAAAAACTCTTTATAAGTTAGATCATTTGTTCTCTTGAACATCTTAGCTTGTGAGTGTGTTATATCTTTCAAGCAAACCGATTCTTTGGTGTGTCATATCCATCGAATCACCCTGGTATATCAAAGGCCTTCCGCATCCTTTGTGTGACCTATCAATCCCTCAGCTTCTATTCAAAGTTCATACCCAAGTCTTACCCAAACCAAGAAATCTAGTGCTTAGAGTGAAGATCTAAAGAAGGAACGTATCAAGTTACTCATCATAGATTGAAAAAACCTAGAATTCACAGCATTCATAGGAATGCAAGCATCATAGAACCACAATGCAACACACATGTCCAGATCATGTATTCTCTCTTTACTTTGCATGCATGCTTTTATAGTTGGTTGACTCTTATCATGCACACCCCTTTTAAAATACGTGTGTAGATCAGTACCTTGTTTCCTCTTTTGACTTGGGCGATAATCAATTGTAGTATCATCTCCATCAACATCATGAATTTCAGGACCGACTGAGTTTGAATCATCAAAATAAAAATTCTTCTTCTTCTTGTCTTCTATTTCTTGTAATGTGTTCTTCATCTTAAACCGCACATCTGCAGGAACCTTTGTACATGCATCTGTTTCCCCTTTAATACCAGCAAGATGGTGTTTCATCCGATTAATGCCACCTCCTTTTTTTGTGTGACAAAATCCACATTCTAAAACATGTTTCCCTCTTGAATCCTTCGATTGAATCACATGGGACCAAGCAATATCCTTCTTTCCTCGAATTGAACGATTTGCAGCAGCTATTTCTTCATAGTTTTCACTTGGTTCTGTTTTCATTGCCTGTTAAAAAAACAAACAAACAAATTTCAACCAAACATCGATTATTCAATGATACTTCATGTGAGAATAAAGACAAAATTGATGATGGATAAACTCATAAAAGGAAGAAATATGTTTTGTTTCATGAACGATAGCAGGTGATGATATACAAACATAACCGGTTCACACGAGTCGCCGGGTTGCGGGTTAATCACAGTTTTTTCTGGACTTTTCCGGTTTTAATGCTGGCGGATTTTAACAATAAAACCAAACCGGAATAATGATCGGGTTTAGGTTTAACCGGTCCAACCGAGCGGGTTGGTCCAGGTATAAAAACATTGCTGACAACACAAAATAACAACATATATAATCAATGAACACTACTACTGGTACTCAAAAACGAAAAAAAAAACAACAGAAAAAAATTGAAAAGTGATTTATAAAAAATAAAGCTTCAAAAGACGGTAAACAATACAACGAAAGCCGACCAATGTAGAAACCAAACCACAATTGAGCTTAAGATGCATTTAAAAAAAAGTAATATATTTATATATAACTCTTACCTTAAGCTAGGATTTTCCACATCACATGTATATTTTTTTTACAAATAATCTCGGTCAATAGATAATCTAGTTGAAATTATCTCAGATTAATATTATCAAAATAACTAAAAGTAACAATAAAATTGTTATACAAATTACGAAAATAAATAAATAAATTAATTAAAGATATTTAAAAAGATTTTATTAAAGAATAAAGGATAATTAGTCACCTAGGTTGAATGAGAGAGTTTATAGCGAAAATTTTACTTTGCATATATTATATATGATATGATTTTAAATGTTTAATTTATTAAATTCCATTTTTTAAATTTTGGTTATTTTCTATTTTAAATATTTTTTGATTAAATTCTGATTTTTAATAATTTTTTTAAATTTAAATGTTTTTTACTAAATTCGGATTTTAATAATTTTTTATTAATTTGTGATTTTTAGTAATTTTTTATTAAATTTAATTTTAAAAAATAGAAAGAGAAGTAAAGGGTAATTAACTACCCTGGGATTGAATAAGAAAGCTTTAACTCAAAATTTTACTTTCTTTATAATATATATGTTTTTTTTATCGTCGATTATTTTTTGTAATCTATCTTTTTCTTTTTTTTCAATGTTTTTAAAACCGGACCCGTGATCGAACTGAAAATTTTTTTGGGTCATGGGTTAATAAGGTTTGATTGGGTTCAACTGGGTTGAACCGGGTTTGATAATATTTTACAAACTTAATCAAAATAAAATTCGTCAATAATTATATTGTTTGGAAAAAAATTCATAATTTAAATCCAAATCAACACTAAAATAAAATAAAGTAGCATTGGCAACAAATTAAAAAAAAAACTTGAATAGTCTAAATAAAAAACAACACTAAAATAAAATAGTTTAGCATGTTGAATCTTCCTTCTCCAAATCTTCAGTACCTTGAACAAATATAAAAACAAAATACATATTACTGAAATGTTTTAAAATTTAAATTATAGAATGAAAAAAATAATAATTAAAAAATAAACTTTTCACCATCTTTAAGATATTTTTCAAGTAGTTTATTTTGTAGCTCAAAAAAATCAAGCTCCCCTTCTTCTTCTTCCACAATCCAAAACTCAGTTTTATCGATGGAGTCATAATCAACTGGATCATATGATCTACTTCTCTTTGATCTACACATAAAAACAACAAACTAGGAATTAATAAATATGCAGGTTAATAACAAAAAGAAATCTATCACAAAGCAGTTAAAAAATTGATCACGTCATAGCACACAAAGTGTTAGTCTATACTTTATATAATATAATAGATACAGAAATTCTAAAACTAACTAAACTCAACAACAAATTTTAATCGAAAGTTGGACACACCTCACTTTGACTTTGAATTGATGTAAAGTGGTGGTGAGTTACAGAGAGATTTAGAAACAAAAAAAACAAAAGAAGCACGATACAACTGTGAAAGAGTTAGGGTTTTATTAAACAAGAACAAGTCTAAACGATATAAACACTAAAAAAAAGAGAAAAAAATAACAATTTAGTTAAGCTTTTCCTGTTTTCAATTCAACCCGGTTTGATATGGTTTAATGGTTCGGCCGATTCCCGGTTTTTTGGCGGTTCAATCCGGTTTTTAACCGGTTTAATATTCTGTGGGTTTTGATACTCCCAACCTGGTTATGCGTCCGGTTCACGGTTTAATCTGGTTGGACTGCCGGTCCGGTCCGGTTTTAAAAACATTGCTTTTTTTTCTTTTGTAATCTATCTTTTTCACTTTTTGTTGAATGGATTTATAGCGATTAAAAAAAGTCAATATGTTGTTTCTCAAAATCTCATGCAAGTTGACAACCTCTTAAAATATTTTAATCACAAAAATAAATAAAAAATATCACCCTGAATTAAATAAACTTCTCACGAGTACAACAAGTGCCGACGAAAGGGCAACAAAAGCTAAAGAATCAATTTTTGCTACTTATAAATTAACGAAGCCGCGTCTCTCTCGTTCTGTGTCTCTCTCTCTGTCCCACCATTTCCACCGCTTCTCCACCAATCACTTCCTTCTCTCTCCTCTCTCTCAGATCTGCACTCACTAGAGATTCTCCTCCTTTCTTGCATCTTTATATTACGATGGTTGGAGCTCTGGAATCTGATCAAATCCTAGCAATGGCTGAGAAATTCGAGATCTTATCGGACGATTTCGATCCAACGGCTGTGGTAACCGAGCCGTTACCTCCGTCGTTGACCAACGGAACAGGAGCAGATCACGGGGAAGAGAATCCGAGGAAGACGGTGGTAACTAACGGAGGAGGAGATAGAGAAATGGTTCTCGGCAGGAATGTCCACACGACGTCTCTCGCCGTGACGGAACCGGAATCGAACGACGAATTCACCGGGGATAAAGAGGCTTACATGGCTAGTGTCCTCGCTCGTTACCGGAAAACTTTGGTTGAACGTACCAAATATCATCTAGGTAACAAAGGATTAGAATCAGGAAATTTAAATTTTATATGAATCTGTGAATGTAAGTTCTTAAGATTTGTAGAGATGATGATTTGGTTTAGGTTATCCATATAACTTGGATTTCGATTACGGTGCGCTTGGCCAGTTGCAGCATTTCTCCATTAACAATCTTGGAGATCCGTTTATAGAAAGCAACTATGGTGTACACTCTAGGCCTTTTGAAGTTGGCGTGTTGGATTGGTTTGCGCGTCTTTGGGAGATTGAGAGAGATGATTATTGGGGTTACATCACAAACTGTGGCACAGAAGGAAACCTTCACGGGATTTTAGTTGGGTGCGTTTGTTTGCGAAATCGATTTTCGAATAGTACTTTTTTCCAGGTTTTGCGGTGTTTGATAACTGTTTATAATCTCTGCAGGAGGGAAATGTTTCCTGATGGGATTTTGTATGCGTCGAGTGAATCGCACTACTCTGTGTTTAAAGCAGCTCGTATGTATCGAATGGAGTGCGAGAAGGTCGATACACTCATCTCTGGGGAGATTGACTGTGAAGATTTCAGGAAAAAGCTGTTGGCAAACAAAGATAAACCGGCGATTCTTAATGTTAACATAGGTTGGTGTCTTCTTTATGAGTTGGTATTTGTATTTTGGGAAAGGTGGAATTTTTTTGCTGATGGTTTTTCTTGCAGGAACAACTGTTAAAGGAGCTGTCGATGATCTCGACCTTGTAATCAAAACTCTTGAAGAGTGTGGCTTCTCACATGACAGGTTCTATATTCACTGTGATGGAGCTCTGTTTGGACTTATGATGCCTTTTGTCAAACGTGTAAGTGTATAGTCTTCGATCAAATCATTGTGATAACGTTTATATAGTGATCTGATCAGCGATTTTATTTCCTTTCTGCAGGCACCAAAAGTCACGTTCAATAAACCGATAGGAAGTGTGAGTGTCTCGGGCCACAAATTTGTCGGGTGTCCAATGCCTTGTGGTGTTCAGATAACAAGAATGGAACATATCAAAGTCCTCTCCAATAACGTTGAGTACCTGGCCTCGAGGGATGCGACAATCATGGGAAGCCGAAACGGGCATGCTCCTTTGTTCCTCTGGTACACCTTAAACAGAAAAGGGTACAAAGGATTTCAGAAGGAAGTTCAGAAATGCCTGAGAAACGCGCATTACCTCAAAGACAGACTCCGTGAAGCTGGGATCAGCGCAATGCTGAACGAGCTTAGCAGCACCGTTGTCTTTGAACGTCCCAAAGATGAAGAGTTTGTCAGGAGGTGGCAGCTCGCTTGCCAGGGCGATATAGCTCATGTGGTGGTTATGCCAAGTGTTACGATCGAAAAGCTCGATCATTTTCTTAAAGACCTGGTCGAACACAGATCTGTCTGGTATGAGGATGGATCTCAACCACCATGCCTTGCAAAGGATGTAGGAACCAACAACTGCATCTGTCCAACTCACAAGTGACGCCACAATTTCCCTTATGTCCGCATTGCGACGTTGTTGTAAGCCTTCTGCTTTAATTCCATCCGTTGTATTCTCGAATTCAGTTTCAATCAGCGACCAAATTTTGTTAGTTTCTCTTATATTAATATAAGTCCTGGTTTCAATCAGTCTTTGTTTAAGTGCTAAATACGTATAAGATGATTACCACAAAGATTTCTTCTAGAGTATTATAATCAAGTTAACATAAAAGCCATATTACATACATACATACATACATCCAATATTGCAGCCTGAAATGAATATTATCTATTACGAACTCTAGCCTCTCTTGGTGAAATCCATAAAGCTTGGGCGTGATGGCTGCCCGTTTGTGCTCATCTGTTGATTCTTGTTGTTCACGAACTGATTCATTGTCGATTGCTGAGATGAGAATTGAGCACGGTTGTATGAATTCCCGTTCCCCTGAGGAATTTCTCCAGCGGCTATCTTGAGTCGGTTAAGTTCTTCCCGCAGCGCTTCATTCAAAGCTGCAAGTTACACCAAACAAATATATGTCATACCACAAAGCTTTGATTTGGGAATGGTATAAATATCGTTTTTCAGAACGACTCGGTGAAAAATGCTTTACCATCCCTAAGTTCAGCTTGTTGCTCTAAAGCTTGTAGCCGCATTTTGAGGTGTTTATTTTCAGTGTTGAGCTCTGAGGTTCCTCTCTGCACAATACACACAAAGAGCACAAGATTTAGAATGGATGCCGAAATACGCAAAACACAAAAAATATGATCTCAGGACAATTGGTTCCGTCACTGAAGTGCAAACAATTGCAAGTGTTTTCATGATACTATTGACATATCTCACATGTTAGTTGAATTAACATCACTAACATATCCTCAAATCCGGCATGTATACTCATTCGAAATAACAAATCGGATGTCCTCTCTAAACACCAGGAAGTCTTAAACGCACTAGGCCTCAAAGGAAGAATGGACACATAAAAAGCAAAACACTAAATATGCTCTCGAGACAAGAACCATTTTATCGTGGTCCTCTGTTGCTTCTATCACTGAAGTGCAAAGAAAACTTACACTCTTGTAATTGTTTTCATTATACAGCACATATCTAACATATTGGTTGAATTAACATCATAATAACATATTTTTTCAAATAGTGCATGTATACTGATATAACCAAAAAAAATCTTGCTTTAGTGATCTTGATTTGTTAGTTCACAATCAAGAACACAAGAACAGACCTCTCTTTACTTCCTAAAGTCTAACTCTCTAAACACCAAGAAGAAAACTTAAACACACTAGGCATCAATTACAAGTTATGTTTGAGTTTAGACATGCTTGACAAAAATATTGTTTTAAGTTTGAAGATGCTTGACAAAAGTGTAGTTAAATTTTACCTGCAACATAGTGACTTGAGCAGACAGTGTAGTTGCTTCGTTCTGAAGTGTCTGTACTTTCCTCTCCAGCTCACCAGTATACCTAATCTTCCTCTCTTTCGACCTCGCCGCAGATTGTCTATTCGCTAAAATCCTAATCAAAAACCATCGCAAAGACTTGTTGATTAAACTACAATTTGAGGGAGAAACATAAAACAATCAAAAAAATACCAAGATTTCTTACCGTTTAGCTCTTTTGGGATCAAGCAAAGCAAGCTCAGCAAGTCGATCACTAGCCATTCCCATACTCTTCTTAGCACCACCGTCTTTGCAACTCACGGCGGCGAGAATCGATTGCATGTTAAACGAACCCGAACTCGTAGCTCCGTCCATCGAATTACTCCGATGATGACCTCTCTTAGCTAAGGATGATGACGAGGATGATTTCCCGGCGAATTGATGATTATCCTCCGCGGCTAGATCGTCGAAGAAATCGGACTCGGAATCGACCGAGAAGCTGCGAACGTGACGGCCAGGGGGAAGAGGAATCGGAGGAGCACCGTTGGATGAGGTTTCTTCCGGAGGAGAATCGACGGACATCGGAGACGGTTGTGGTTGTTGCGGTGGTTGCGGTGTTGGGGCGTTGAGGAAGTCGAGGGAAGAGAAATCTACATCGGAAGGATCGAAAAGGAGGAGATCGTCGATTGATTCGCCGGAGAAGAAAGTGTCGGAGCGAGCTCGACGGTGATGTGAGATACGCTGACGTGGCGCTTCTGGCATACGTTCGATTTCGCTTAGAATCGAAGATTGGTTTGGTCTCAGGGAAGGCTCCATCGATTTTTTCCGGCGGTGGCGAGGTTTAGGTTACTGTTTCAACTACCTAACGAAGGAGAGAAATCTTGAAGATGAAATGATAGTAGAGAGAGTTTTGTCAAAGAGGGGCAAGTAGAGAAGACGACATGACATTTGGTCTGAAAAAACCTATATTCTCGAAATTAATATTAAATAAAAAATAATATTTCTGTATTTGATTGGTGGTAATGGGTTTGGACATACGGTTTAGTCGGTTCAAACCGGACAAACACTCAGTTCGGTTATGTATTTCGAAAACTATGTCGAATTGAATCGATTTTTTTTTCTTATTTAGTTTTTTATGCTCGATTCTTTGAAAAATGGACTAAATTTATTAACTCAGCCAAATTCAAAAATACATTTGTAGTCATTTTTTAGGAACCGAATCCAAACGAATTGATCAAATTGGTTTTATTTGGTTTGGATTTTATACGCAAATAGAGATGTCAAACAGGGTAATCCGAGTCCAAGTAGCCCCATCCGATGCGGGTTTAAATTTTTTTTTGGGTCTGGCGGGCTGACCCATCATAAACTGCGATCCTAAATTGATGTGTCCAAGCCCGACCCGCTTATATTCTGCGGTTTTGCAGGCTGGCCCGCAGATTCATACTTTTTTCTTCATCTTAAGTTTTTATGACATTTAGACTTATAGAACCAGAAAATCTGCAAGAGGAGAATAAAGTTTTGCTCGTAACTGAATCACAATATGCATAAGAAACAAGACTAAAGAAAATTCTTGTTTAAGTAAATTCGATGAACAAATAAACGAATTCGATAAACCTCTTATACAAAACTCCTAACCCTAAGATACTATAAGATTTGAAAAATCAATTTAACGGTAAGAATAAACACTTAGTGTTGAAAAATAAATAAATGAATTACAAATAATGATACACATCAAAACTGGTAATTAAGCTAAAGAACCATCATGATACAAGCAACAAGACATTCACATATAAAATATAAAAAAATAGATGAACATAGCTTATTTGTTAGTCCAGCGTACAAACAAATGTGATTCTCAAGCAAAACTATTTATTATCAATTCAAGATTTAAGCGATTCTAAATTACCTTTGCATCGCTGCAGACAAAATAGAAACCACGTCCGTGATATAGTCGATGAGCAAAACCAAAAAAAAAAAAGAAGCAAACTTATGATATTAAACTGAAATTAAAATATTAAAAAAATACTAGTTTTTGTCTGGAAAGACAACGATCAGATTTTCTCCCAAATTCAAAAATCCAATCACAGAATCTGAATCGAATCGAATATAAAACGCATACCAGTTTGATGATTCCTTGATCTCATTGAAATGAAGCTATCACAAAGCCCAATAGCTGAATTGTGTGACTCCACTAGGCTTCGATTCACCCATGAAACTACTATTTCGAAATCCACCAATCAAAGATGACAAAATACTTCATTTTTTGAGCTTTACAAGAAAACATCAAATTCTGCAGGTTAGACCACAATTCCGCGGATCCACTCTAACCCGACCCGCAAAACCCCAACTTCCACGCGGGTTTGGACCGCGAAACCCGCATTTTATTTGGACAAATTTTATGGAGTCCAAACCCGCACCGCTGCGGTTCTACTTGGGCCGAACCCGCGGGTCAGAGTCCAATTTGACACCTCTACGGCTAACCTACTACTTTTAAAAAAAGAAATTAGTTAAAAACTGGAGAAATAAAATGTTTTGAAGTCCCCAAAAAGATTAATTTTGGAAGCCAATTAATAGATAAAATAATAAAGTTAAGAATTAATTACATGACACTTTCTGAGTCTAATTAAGACATTTTTAGCTATTTAGACATTTTGTGTTAGCCCTGGAATTATTATCTGATATCCGATCTCCGATTCGGTATCCGGTCTCTGATTCGGTAGCCGGTCTCCGATCCGGTATTCGGTCATATCCGATCCGTAAAAACCGAATATTCATGTAGTTCGAATCCGGATCCGGATCCGGATAGTGAAATTAAGTATTCGGTTATTTTGGATACGGATCCGAATAATAGAAAATTTTGAAACCAGATATCCGTTATCCGTTGATTAAGTATTTATTTATTTTTGATAATATTTATTTATTTTTAAAAATTAACTTTAAGAATTGAACACATTGAATATGCAGTCATTATCATATTGAGTATGAAGTTTGGATGAAGTAATAACCAGTTTAGAAATTTTTGGGCATGCAGCCATGCATTCATTTTTTTGTTTTAATTATGTTTGATAATAATTTTTGGTTTAACTTCTTTACATATGATTGAAATTCATATTGCATAATATTTTTTATTTCAGATTGTGAGAAAAGAACATGAAAATGGATAGCACATGAACATGAAAATAAATTAACTTCTCTATTACTATTTTTTATTAGCTATGTAAATTTTTAAACTTTATGCTATTTGAATGCTTTTTAATTTTTGCTATTTGTAACTTTTTCTATGATGATCCATTTTAATTATCTATGTTATCTCACTATAATTTTAAAAAAATTGAAGAGTTTTTTTAAAATCAAAAAAACCGGATATCAGGTCGGATATCCGTAAATATTCGGTTCAAACCAGATCTCCGGAATTTTTGAACCCGGATAATAAAATTGATTATCCGGCGGATCCGGATCCGGATACCTTAAAAAGTCCAGATATCCGGCTTCGTTCCAGGCCCTACTTTGTTTGTGTAAAAAAATGAAACTAGAGTTAATTTGGTATTACACTATTCACAAAACTCTAAAATAATAATAATAATTTATTGTTATTTTTATTATAATATAAATATTAAATTATTTATCAATTGATTAAATTTCATAACTATAAATAATATACTACTTTTTAATATTATCATTTATAATAATATGATTTTTAAATGTAATTCATAGAAAATTTTAATTAGAATTAATATAAATACAAAAAATATTTGAATTAATACACACTATTATTAAGATTAAATAAAGTTCTATTAAAAACACTGAAAACATAAAAGTACAAAATTAAAATCAAACAAACATAAAAACTAAATAAAACAAGCTAAATTTTCAAGACATAATTAAATTTAAACAATAATTAATACCCAGGAAAATTATTATTTCTGGTTCTTTTAAACAAATTATAGTAGGAGGTAAAATCTTGTGAGACAACTGGTGATCCTTGAACTTCATCTTGAGGGTGTTGTCCTTGAGCATGAGGTTCTTGAACATGTTGGCCTTGAACTAGTTCTCTTTCAGCTGGATCTCCTTGATACTGAGATGCTCGGTACACAGTATTGGCTTCGATAATCTTCTCCATGTTCTCCATATCGGTTTGTATGTGCTCTCCACTTAGAATTTATGCTCTTTGACTTTCAATATACGCATGAATCGCCGATCGGGTTTTCAATTTCTTATTTATAGGTTCTTCCACCTTTAAAGAGTTGAGAAATTTTACTCTAGACAACATTAAATACACAGTTTGGAATAATAATACATCTTCAAAAAACAATCTCCAACACCATAGGTTAACGTAACCCTGGTTTACTTTTGCTGAAGTAACCGCCTATATTAAGGGTGATAGAAAAGAATTTAATATCTCCTTTTTCATATCTTCTTTTTAATTTTTCATTATTTTTACTGAAGAATTTAACCGCTTACTTTTGCTGAAGAAAGTAACCGCCTACTTTTGCTGAAGAATTTAATATCTCCTTTTTCATTACTTCATCCTTGCTATACCCCTCTCCTCCCCAGACTTTTAACCAAATACAGCCTTTTGATGTTCCTCTTTTCTTCCAAACTCCAGACTCTATCTATGGTATTCCAAAAATCAATCGTACAACTATAATAAAATCTTGAAAGATGTTATATTCAAGATTTCATTATAGTTGTACGATTGATTTTGGAATATAAAGCAAAAGTAGGCAGTTACTTTTTTCAGCAAAAGTAAACGGTTAAATTCTTCAGCAAAAATAATGAAAAATGAAAAAGAGATATAAAAAAAGAGATATTAAAGGAAATATTAAATTCTTCTCTATCGCCATTAATATGTAGGTGGTTTCTTCAGCAAAAGTAAACCAGGGATACATTAACCAATGCTGTTGGATATTGTTTCCGAAGATGTATTAGAGCATCTCCATCCCTCATTCTTATATGATGGGTTGTTAAACATTGTTTAATATTAAATTTGACATCTTAAAAAATATTAAACATTTTTTATTTCTCTCTTTCTTTTTTTCAATTATATGGTGCCATGTGTTATATACCACTAAAATGAGGTTCTTCCACAAGAGTTTATAAATCTGGGATATAAGCTTTTTCTCTTTTTCTAATTTTTTTAATACTTAAAAATCCTTACAACTCCATTATATCCTTGCAATGGAGATGGTCTTATTATTCCAAAAAGTATATTTAATGCTGTCTAGAGTAATATTTCTCAACTCTTTAAAGGTGGAAAAACCTTGATACTGAGGTGCTCCCCTATAAATAAGAAATTGATTTTCAATTTCTGCTCTTTAATTTTCAACATGAAGCCACACATGACATTTTCTTCATTAGAATATGAAGCAGAGCGAGTTGAAGTCATTTTAGAAGGAATATTGGTGGTAAAAAAAAGAATGGAAGATGTATGATCATTCGAAGAGAAGTATACGTTTATATAGAGAAGTTAGATCTTGGCCAGAGAAATTTAAGGGTGTAGATTGATTCGTAATTTTCTCATAAGATGATAATAGAGAAATACATGATTTGACTAAACAATGCTACGGTTAGATCTTGGCCGGAGAAATTTAATAATGAAGATTGATTTGTATTTTCTCAGAATGTGATAATAGATAAAGACATGATTTGACTACACAATGCTACGGTTAGATCTTGTCTAGAGAAATTCAACGGTGTAGATTGATTCGTTATTTTCTCATAAGATGATAATAGATAAAGACATGATTTGACTAAACAATGCTACGGTTAGATATTGGTCAGAGAAATTCAAGGGTGTAGATTGATTCGTAATTTTTTCATAAGAGCATCTCCAATGGTTTCCCTCATTTTTTCCCTCAAAATCTTATAAGGGTTTATAAGATTACTTAAAAGGGTTTATAAGATTACTTAAAAGGGTTTATAAGATTACTTATAAGGGTTTATAAGATTACATTTAATGGTTTATAGATTGATTCGTAATTTTCTCATAAGAACATCTCCAATGGTTTCCCTCATTTTTTCCCTCAAAAAGGGTTTATAAGATTACCTTTAATGGTTTATAGATTGATTCATATTTTTTTCAGAAGGTGATAATTGCTAAAGACATGATGTGACTAAACAATGAAACGGTTAGATCTTTTCCGGAGAAATTAAATGGTGTAGATTGATTTATAATTTCTTAGAAGGTGTTAATTGTTATAGACATGATGTGACTAATCAATGCAACAGTAAAATCTTTGCTAGAGAAATTCAACGGCTTAGATCATTTGCGTACTTTATAAAATGGGTATCATGTTTGGAACTTAAAAATATTATCACCATCAAAATCTATTTATTCTCTTAAAAGATGAACTTCTTCTTCTTCAACAATTATTTTTTAAATAATCCTTTGTATACCGAGACGATGTTCCGACGAAGATTCTGGATGAGTCACTCTTTGTTTCCGCGTATTCATGAAGCGATACAAGGACATGACACTTATTTTTTCCAGCGAAGAGACGGTGTCGGTAGACTTCAGTTGTCTGGATTGTAAAAAATGACTGCAGTGTTTCGAATGTTGGCGTACAGTTCACCAGCAGATTCCACTGATGAGTATGTCAAAATAGGGGTGTCCACAGCTATAGATAGTATGAAGAGATTTTGTCGTGCTGTTTTAGATGTGTTTTTTCAGCCGTTATCTTCGATCACCAAACGCTAACGATGTTGCACGGCTACACCACATTGGTGAAAGCCGAGGATTTTCAGGTATGTTGGGTAGTTTAGATTGTGTGCATTGGAAATGGACTAGCATATTGTAGAAGCTGGTTGTAGTGGATCTCCTATTATGATTCTAGAAGCTGTAGCCGATTATTACAGCCGATTATGATATTTGGATTTGGCATGCATTTTTTGGGCTACCGAGATCTAACAATGATATCAATGTCCTAGAGACATCTCATCGTTTTGCTAATCTAGCTGAAGAAACTGCTCCACCTGCTAATTATATTATTAATGAAAAAAATTATAATATGTGTTATTATCTAACTGCTGGTATATATCAAAAATGGTCTACTCTTGTTCAAACAATTCATAATCCACGTGGTCCCAAAAAGAAATTATTTGCAAGGAAGCAAGAAGCATGTGGAAAAGACGTGCAACATGCATTTTGAGTATTTCAGTCAAGATTTGCAATTGTGAACGGACCATCACGCTTTTGGAGTAAGAGAGTGTTGCATGATATAATGCATAATATGATCATAGAGGAAGAACGTGATGTCGATGCAATAATTGAAGAACGAACCGAAGTCCCATCTACTGAAGTTGAGATAGAGAGTAATGAAGATGTTCGATTTCAAGAATTCATAATCCACGTGGTCCCAAAAAGAAATTATTTGCAAGGAAGTAAGAAGCATGTGGAAAAGACGTGCAACATGCATTTTGAGTATTTCAGTCAAGATTTGCAATTGTGAACGGACCATCACGCTTTTGGAGTAAGAGAGTGTTGCATGATATAATGCATAATATGATCATAGAGGAAGAACGTGATGTCGATGCAATAATTGAAGAACGAACCGAAGTCCCATCTACTGAAGTTGAGATAGAGAGTAATGAAGATGTTCGATTTCAAGAATTCTTAGCTCGACACAGGAAAGTCAAGGACTGAGAAGCTCATATTGAACTTTAAAATGCATTAATCAAACACTTGTAGTCTGAATATGCTAATTCTGAGAATTAGTAATATGTATTTTATTTTCCGTTGTTTTTATTTTATCGATTGTAATTTTTTTTTCATCACTGAATATATTGTTATTCTTTGTTTTTCAATTTTTTTTCTTCTTTCTATTTTCCTTCTACTTTTCTTCACCGTTTACTTCTTTTTCACCATCCTTGTATTTCCGGACTTCTTCTTCTTCTTCTATTTTTTTCCTATTTTTACTCCTCTTCTTCTTCCTATGACTTGTCTTATTTAAAACTCATTATTGTCACACTCTTCAATTTTGTCTACATCATCTTCCAATTTTCTTCCCATTCAACTTCTTTTCATTGTCTTTGACTTTTTTACTTTTTTTTCACCATCCTTGTATTCTCCAACTTCTTCTTCTTCTTTTTTTTTTACCAATTTTTACTCATCATCTTCTTTAAATTCTTTGTATTATTTAGATTCTTATTCTTCATTTTCACCTTATCCTACTTTGGCAATATTATCTTCTATTTCTTTCTCTTCAACATTTTTAGTTTTTTTTCTTCAACATCCTCATCTTCTTATCATTATCCTTCTTTGCTATTTTTATTCTATCTATTTTCTTCCTAATTCAATGTAGTTGTTTGATTTCTTTTGCTTTTATATGTGTATACTATGTTATTCTGGTATGGTCAAGATCATCTCCAATGGAACTGCATAACACCAAATTTGGTGTAATTTTTGCACCAAACTTCTCCAATAGAACTCTAAAATCTAACACCAAATATAGTGTTATAAACAGTATTACACAAAATTTGGTTTGATATTATTCACAACAATAAACATTATTCACTTATTTTATTAATAAAATAATTAATTAAATAAATATAAAATTAAATATAAAGAGATTTTTCAATTTAGTAATATAATAATAAAGAATATTTTTTTTTGGTGTGATATTTGATGTTGTGGTTGGAGATGAAAAATAATTTGGGTATTGAAATCATATCAAATATAATGTAATTTAATTTAAATTATGGGTATTATGGTTGAGATGCTATATTTGACCTAAAAGAATGACTTTTTTTTTTTATAGTTTTAATTGTAATCAATTTCTTTTGTTCAACATTTGTTCCGGCTTAAATCCCAATTTGTTTGGAAAAAATTCAAATTAAATTGGTGAATTTAATATAATTTAGATTTCTTTTTTGAAACAAATTAGGATAGAAACAAATGTTATGGAATCTGGCTCTAAGGATATGTGAAAGATATTACCTTATATATAATGATAGAAGCAGCCCCAAGATCAATGTTAGTGAACGCAATTTCATCCAACAATTGAAATATTTATTCGTCTCAATATTGTTCAATCTTAACAGGTATAACAAAAATTCTACATCAATGAACAACATAAAAGGAAAAACGGACAACGCAAAGAAAGTTCAAACGCGTCTAAACCGCCAAAATCAAATCAGCAGTTTCCCGTTTTTCCGCTTTTCTCATAATACAACATTCTTCAGACTATACTTGGAGGATCTCCAATCCAGCTACAAGTAGCACGCGACCACCGAGTTCTGATACAATCCACCAATGGTGCATGCTGTACCGGTTTAGGCTGGTTCACTTCTGAGTCTTTCTCAGAGCTCGTCGGCATTGCGCAGGACATGTACTCCTCCGGTGTCCATTTAGGAGGAACAGAGACGTTTAGTTTCGTGAGACGCGGCCTTTGCATAGGAACCGTCCCACCTTCCACAGCCATAGCTTGACCACCACCGTTAATGTCGGATTTGGCAATCCCGTTGAAGTGATAAATATCAAAGACTTTCTTACCCATCATTCCTGTTGAATCCTTTATCCCTCCCAAATTCCGGTCCAGCTCCAAGATCACTTGCCATAATTCGCTCCACACGATGAACCCCGTGGCACAGATATCATTGAGCTTATCAGTTGGGAGTCTGATGTTTGTTTCCTGAATAACTTGGTGGAAGGCCTCCACGCTGATGAAACCTCCTCCTCCGCTTTGGTCTCTTGCATCGAAAGCTCTTCTTATCTGAGCCTCTCTCAGCTCAAGCTCGTTTTCTTCTTGGACGGATGGATCCAGCGCAAACAGGACGGTGTAATGTGACTCACTGCCAATAACCCATATTGGCCATTTGGGACATTTAAGATTCTGGCCGACTTTGCAGAAATTGAGAGACTCGAGCAACGTGAGGAAGCCCACCTCCACATTTTTAGATATACCTTTTAGAAACATACCGCCTCCAAGATCCATCCTTCCATCAAACACATTAGGAACCGCTTCTCCACACAGCAGCATGTTTACAATTTCCTGGAAAAAAAAAACGGGCATAGAGAAAAATCAGCAATACTCTCAAGGGAAAAGAAGGGATAAAGAGTAAAAAACAAGTTACGGATCAGTTCGTTCTACTACCTGGGAGGCATGTCCAAATGGTGCAGTTACTAGGGGGAGGTTTGGATCATCTCTGTCGGTTTGAACGGTATCCTATTCATGACAAAAGAATTTATTTATGGCTACAACACTAGGAATGCAATTATCATAGACAGTTTTCACAATTTTAGGCAGTAGTACACTCATAAGGAACAATGATCTAGTCTGGAACATGATATTCTGGTTCTCTTAAGATCAGAAATCAATAACTAGCTTTATGTCTTACTGAACCGTACAACAGAGACAGAATCAAAGAATAATCATAAGCATTTTTCTACTTGTCCTCGATTACTAAAATGCTGATTTGGTACTGTTAATTAACACTTATCAGATTCATGCTTCCATTTGTTAGATACACAGTGAATTAGCTGCCGTATCAACGGATATTTTTTTCTATATTACGTTGAATTCTCTTTTCTGGCTGTAACCTCAATAGTAAGAACCACATGACCAAATCAAAGGTTGCCAAGTGCAGCACATGACCAAATCAAAGTATTCCAAGTTGCTCGAAAAAACTAAACCCTATGATTAATTGAGACGTCAATTCAATCCCCTAATCTATTATTCAGGTATGACTCTTTGTACAAATGTTAACAAACAAAAACAAAAAATTAAGGATCAAGGTTGCATCAATACCAGTCCACGGGAGAGTAAAGCTGAAATGAGGAATAGCAAAGCACCCATGCGACTTTGGAAAGCAGTGATTGTGCCTTCTAGCTTACTAAGGGCATTGGATTTAGTAGTGAATGTCTCGAATCTTAAGATCTTCTGCAAATCTGAAGCAGACTCAATGGGAAGCCCACTAGCCATTGCCTGCCAATATTATTAGAAGGAATCATCTAATAGGGACGCAAAACAATCATTGCACCAAATATGAAGAACAAGTGAAGTTTGACTAACCTCATCTTTCGGATTAATAATGGACTTCTCGGAATTAGAGAAACTCGCTATTACAGCACGGTTATTGTTTCCACACATAAATAGAATCTCACACATGCTCCTGACAAGGGCCCTGCAAAATCAGGGACATAGAATGACAGATTCTGAGAACTAAACCATGATAACTGAAATTGCGACATGAATCATAGTCTAACAAATCTTCTGAGAATATTTCACCTTGTTTTTACATCTTCTGGTACAGAAGAGAAAGAGTTTGACGAGACATGACGATTAGATAATGTCCAGACACCCAAACTTGGGGAAGCTTTACCTATGTCATCCGGAACGTAAAGAAGGTATTTAAGAACAAATGCCTACACAGAAAATGGAACAGTCAAGATCAACTGTAAGAATATTCACATGTTACAGAAAACCATCAACTACAATTAACTTAGATAACATGCCAGAACAAGGAAAACAAGAGAATTACTTGTAGTGCAGCTAAAACACCGCAGGGACCACCTTCATGCTGCACTAAGCCTATAGTAGTCTCAGGATCAGGGCTAAACCTATGAAAGTGTAGTAAAAACATTAGTCACATAGTTGATTGTGAAATACTATGTCTCAAATACCAGCAAGAACGACAAACATTATGGCAATACAAGATATATCAATTACTAACACATTTAGGAGATATTACTGAGCATCTAGGAGACTAACACACATATGGAAATTTCAAGCTCTTAAAAATTCACCGAGGAACGTATTTTATTGAAGATTATGTTACCATATGACATGTCTGACACAAACAAGCTATAGTCCAAAATTATATCGTGAAGACAAAAGTTATGGAATAACTCAACATTTCGCGAGACTATGCAAATCTGGTTTCTGAAATTAGAAATGAAAAAAATACAAGCACTGTAATCATGCATCCAAAGTGTGACCCGTCAAAATTAAAGTACATTTCACCGTAGAGTTTCTCCAAAAAAAGTTTGATTCGGATAGATATGCAGCAATGACTTACGGGAGATTAATTGATGTTTGATTGATTTGGTATTTTTTTTAAAAGAACTAAAGGGATTATGGTTGTGTTTTCTAACAAAAAATGGAGAATCTAGCTTCTGTGTCTGACTACTTTATAAAGGTTTTCGAGGGCTAGGTTTGTATCCGTTAACTAGTCATTAACCATATTAACCACCAATAATTATGACAAATCTTGTCATCTCAGCTACATTTCCATTTGGGAAAAAAAGGGCAGAACCAACACCATGACTTTTCTCATTAATAAAGGCCATTATACTTCTCAAACTCTCCAACTATATAAGATCAAATGCTTGAGAAAACTTTGAATACTACAATCCAAAGAATCAACTTCTTCAAGGCCTTCCTTCTATATGAATATACACAATAATCAATACCAAATACGCCACATCATTGGTAAATGCAACTAATCCAATAGCACCCAAATTTCAACTCAACTTAGGAAGAACGGTAAAAGCACACAAAATTTAAACAATCTCAGTCGAATTTCATCGGTAAAAGAACACAAAGTTAAACCCAATCCATGAATCAATCTGCTAAAGAAAAATCATACCTTATGCCTTGATTAGTCCATTGTGCAAGTACACTTTTCGATACCTCATTTCCAAACACCATTGTGAACAACTGATTTGACTCTTCCGGCGATAACTCATTCCCGGAAGAACCATCACCGTCACAAGATCTCATCGCTTCACCGATCTTCACAGCTTCATTACCAACCGCAATTGGCGAAGCCAGAGCTAGAGCTCTGGGCTTAGCTTGAGCAGGAGGGCTTTTAGGAAACACCATCATTCGTTTCTCTGCTGCAGCAGCCATGATCTCTCTCTGCAACCGCCGGCTTTTTGCCTCCGGCGATTCACCGGAGGAACCACGGAGTTGAGATCCGGATCCAGTTTCTTCAATGGGTTTACTCCGTTTCGGCTCCGGAGGATTGTATTGCATACTCATCTGAAGAGCCAATTTCAAATCTTCGTCCTCTTGATGATCCGCCATTGAAACACACAGTGATTGCCCGGATCCCAAAGATCGCAAATTTGCGTTCTTGGAGAAAACTAAGACTTCGGTTACGATTTGGGCAACGTTAAAAAACCAAAATTTGTTGTCTCCGCAAAGATCATAAAAAAATTGTAAGGATCAGATTTAGCGGAATCAGAGAAAACCTAATCCGAATCTGGTGATGATAAAATCAATATATACAAGTCCTAAAAGAGATAATCATAATAGATTTTGTTAATCCTTAGGAGTTAAATTTTTTCCTAATTTGGTAGGCATCGAAGACTAAAGAAAAGGTATGAATTTAAGGAGTTCTCTTTTGATTTTCAACGATTTTAAGGCAAATAAACTCTACAAGGAAAAGAATATGGAAACTTTTTAAATCAGCTTATCATCTCTGGATCCGTTTCACGAGTAGAATAGTGTTTTTTGTTTTTTTTTTAATTCATCGACTGGTCAACCCTTCTTTTCTTTTAGTCAACAGGTAGGTGGTCAAGTGTTCTTTTATATCCGAAGTCACATTGGTTTAGTGGCTTTGCCGCTTTGTCCGTTTTTTGTGCACAGAGATTCGACCCGATCTCCTCAAGGGGGTTGAGAGACGGTCATGTGAGCCCATACAAAACCCTAATCCAACTTTTTTTTTTTATTAGCACCAAGATATTCGAGGCCCGAGGGCATCCGAGCCCAAAGGCACCGGACTAATCCCTTGGTAACATGCCACATGGCTAAACATTAATTTGATAATTATGCGTTTGGGAGGAGTCGATCCTTGACCTAAACAAACTTGACGACCCTTCCCACAAAGGGAAACCTTTAATCCTAAATTTATTCATTTAAGAATGGTAATCATGTTTCACCGAACAATTCCACCAAATGAATATGAGTGTATGTATGATATTAGTGTTGTATGATTGATCTGTAATGCAAAAAAACATAGATAAAAACCTTTTGCTCATCCTATATATATATTTTTAAGGATTCTGTTGAGATATCAATCCAAGTCTCACATCAGAAATTTAGATTAATATGGTCTAGTATATAAGCATGATGTCCAACAGTTTAGTATGAGGCCTTTTGGGAAGGAATCCGAAAACAAATCCATGCAGGTTTTACCACTTGAACCCAAAGTGTAAAATATCATACTAATAGGAAGTTGGACATGGGCTTGAAAAACCCAATAATGGTATCAGACCGAGGTTCTAGAAAAGGTGGATCTGGACAAGTGGGTGTGGGCTGTGTGATTAGTGTGGGAGGAAGAGAGTCTTTAAGGTGACCTTGCGATTGGGGTGCCGGTGCCTTGTATCGAAAGTCTTCCTAACAGTTGCGCAAGGGTTAGGAGAAGAGTTTCGATGGTGCGTACGGTGGTACAATATGGGTGCCAATTTTCACAGGAAGTTGGAAGGTCACGGGTTTGTGTGGTTCTTGGTTTGAGGGAGGGATTGTTGGGATATCAATCCAAGTCCCACATCGAAATTTTAGACCAATATGGTCTAGTATATAAGCATGATGTCCAACAGTTTAGTATGATGCCTTTTGAAAAGGAATCCAAAAACAAATCTGTGCCGGCTATACCACTTGAGCCCAAAGCGACATTATATCATACTAATAGGGAGTTGGACATGGACTTGAAAAGCCCAACAATTGGTATCAGAGACATGTTCTAGAAAAGGTGGACCTCGACAAGTGGGTGTGGGCTGTATGTTCGGTGTGGGAGAGAGAGTCCTCTAGGTGACCTTGCGATTGGGGAGCCTTGTATCGAAAGTCTTCCTAACGGTTGTGCAAGGGTTATGAGAAGAGTTTCGTTGGTGCGTACGACGGTACAAGATGGGTGCCAAGTTTTGCAGGAAGTTAGAAGGCCACAGGTTTGTGTGGTTCTTGGTTTGAGGGAGGGATTGTTGGGATATCAATCCAAGTCTCACATCGGAAGTTTAGACCAATATGGTCTAGTATATAAGCATGATGTCCAAGAGTTTAGTACGAGGCCTTTTGGAAAGAAATCGAAAAACAAATTCGTGCAGACTTTGCTACTTGAGGACAAAGCGGACAATATTACACTAATCGGAAGTTGGAAATGGGGTTGAAAAACCCAACAATTGGGAGGCCTTTTGGGAAAAAAACCCAAAATAAAATTTGTGTGAGATTTTCTACTTGGGCTCAAAGCGAACAATATCATACTAATATGGAATTGGACATGGGCTTTTAAAGCCCAACAATTGGTATCAGAGGTTCTGGAAAAGGTAGACCTGGACAAGTGGGTGTGGACTGTGTGTTTAGTGTGGGAGAGAGAACCCTCAAGATGACCTTGCGATAAAGAGGTGCTGGTGACTTGTGCCAAAATTCTTCCTAACAGTTGCGCAAAGGGTTAGGAGAAGAGTTCCGTTGGTGCGTACGATGGTATAAGATTGGTGCCAAGTTTTACAACAAGTTGGAAGACCACGGGTTTGTGTGGTTCTTGGTTTAAGAAAGGAACTGTTGGGATATCATTCCAAGTCCCATATTAAAAGTTTAGACTAATATGGTCTAGTATGTAAGCATGATGTCTAATAGTTTAGAGGCCTTTTGGGAAGAAATCCAAAAACAATTCTGTGCGGGCTTTGCCACTTGAATCCAAAACGGACAATATCATATTAATAGGGAGTTGGACATAAGCTTAAAAAATCCAACAATTAGTTGTCTAGGATTATTAAATCTAGTCTAACAGATAAAAGATGAATAAGGTATATGATGGGGTATCTGTTTTAGATATAGAACAATAGACTTTTACATAGTTTAATAAGAGTTCAGAAATTGATTTTTGACTACCCAAATTTTACGATCCCGTTTTGTTATCTGTTGGTAATGTCTCGTATTTTATCGATTACACTTAACTAATGTTTTTTAATATCTGTTCCCTATCCTAATTTGTTACATTAAACTGATGTCAATAATGGATATATATATGACCTACCTAATACAATCAATTTTACTAGATTTTTGTAGATAACGTTTTCTAATTTGCGTTAAGTTAGCGTATAATACCACAAAATAGAATTTAGAATAGTTTACAAATACCTGAGAATACTATCAACAGATAACTAATGCATCATTTGGGGTCAATTGTTGCTATAAAACTCTTCTTGAATTAAATGATGAGTACTTTGCTCAATCAGTTATCTCTCTACTTTTAATATCAAGACAAAAAGTTTGTATCATTTATAGGGGTGTGTAAATGGTTGTTGAGGTAACAATTAATGATCAAATCTGGCTGAGAAGCAAATAACCAAATATATTTCAATTGCATGGAACTATGTACAAATACAAGAAACACAGAAAATTAGATGTGGTTTCTCAACAAGCTCAACTTGGAGTTGCATCCTAGAAATAACACTTGTTTCATTTTAATCTAAGATCGGTAATAGGAAAACTATTATAGTGTTTTCAATTCATTTTATGAGGCCTTTTTATGGTGATTTGTATTAGGTTTGCTCAATGTATATAAAAAGAACTACCTGTAGAATGTGTTAGGTATATTGTAACTATAGTAATCTTATATTTTGCGGTTCAATCCTCTTCATATTGATGTTACCTTGTGATAAATTTGTGGGGCGTTTGGTCATCTATTGGCTAGATTAATAAGCATATATAAACTAGCTGAACGTTTTTATACATAATTATTTTTTACTACTAAAAATAATTTTAAGTTGATATAACATAACTATATTAAAAGTATTCGAAAAAATGATGGAAGTATATGTTTTATACCAAAAAAATGAAACCCTTATAAGAAGTAACGAATCTATTATATAAAAAGTGGGTTGTGTCTTACAAACGTGACACATCAGCACCCCTTCTTTTGACACATCAGCTTTACTAAAAAAATAAACTAAACATTATTTAAGAAAAAAATTTATCGATATCAAACTTTTATTGATTATGTCATATTAGTATTAGTTTCTCATCCAAAAACGATTCATCTTCTATACTTCCTCTTTCCTTTTGTATTCAACCCTTTCAAGCTCCCTTCCTCATCCGCAATCAATTCGTTTGAGATGAAAACTGAGAACTATCCTTAGTTTTGTGGACGCCATTATAGCTAAAAACAGTTCATGTCCAGATGTCCTCCAATATTTTTCGCTTGAATTGTGGTATGTATGTCCATGATCTCTCTCACACTTTGTAAAATTATACTTTGAAAGCTTCATGAACATGTATGATGACTCTCTAAATAATATATGTCTAACCAACTATATGTCAGGTCTCCGGTCCTCTAGGATCAACTCCCAACGATTAGAGCATCTCCTCGTTGGTATGGTTTACTGGTGCTTGCCTCGAGGAAGATGTCACTAATACACAACAATTTTGAAGTTTTTGACCAATCAAATCAACTAAAATCTGAAATTGGAAACTTCAAATTTTTAAAACATTATATGGGCTCTTTTTTTTTTTATAAAAAAATAGTAAGCATGACCTTGAGTGTTAGAGATAGATCAAAGGCGAAGGATGTGTAAGCAAATGCCATTAGAAAGGGTAAAACTATAAAATATACATATCAATATGTTATATATTTAACACTTGTTTGTTGGGTGATATATCTGCATATTAACTAAAAAAGGCTATCTATCTATATTCTTTAAATTTATTTCCATATTAACTTTTTGTGTAAGACATGATGCAAATTCAAGATAGTTATGGATTCACCGTAATGATCAACCTAGAGAAATTAATAGAGAAAATGACTATACATTGATCTAAAAAAATGAACCGATATAATTAATGACCAAAGCAGTATCATGCACAGTACAGAAAAACACATTAAACATTTACAAAAAGATGAAACAATGTTGCCAAAAATATAAGTTTTTTTCTCTAGTTTGGTCAAAAACTAAAGTCAAATTCAACCAATATGCTCCATGAATCAGTAAACTGGATTTGATAATTGACCGATATTGTTGGTATTGATTTGGTGGAGGATGAAAATGTTCTATTATTAATTGACAAGGACATTAAAAAAGTAACATTTGTTCTACGTATTATTTAGATAAGTGCCATACTGAGGTGTCACTCTCAGAGAGCTTCTCAGAGATATTTTAAAATTAGATTCAATTTACTAAATTAATTACATCATATACTATCATATACCACATTAAACATTTACAAAAAGATGAAACAATGTTACCAAAAAAATAAGATTTTTTCTCTAGTTTGGTCAAAAACTAAAGTCAAATTCAACCAATATACTCCATGAATCAGCGAACTGGATTTGATAATTGACCGAGTTGATTGGTATTGATTTGGTGGAGGATGAAAATATTGACAAGGACTTTAAAAAAGTAACATTTATCCTATATATTATTTCGATAAGTGCCATACTGAGGTGTCACTCTCAGAGAGCTTCTCAGAGATATTTTAAAATTAAAT